ACATCAACATGTAAACAATATATAATTATAACATACCGACTCCCGATCTATCATGAGAAAACTAAACAAATTCATCTAAATTCAGTACTAACTAACTAACATCTATCATATCATAATTAATCTAAATATATCATAACATATTTTCCAATAACCGCAATTCACTAAATACAAACATATAAATTACTAACACATCAACATGTAAACATTACATAATTATAACATACCGAATCCCGACGAGTTTCTTGAGCAGTAAACCAACTCCAAACCAGCTGAGAAAACGACTAATAAAACACTAATTTTTTGTACTAATTTGCTGTAAGGTAGCAAGAGGGGAAGTGGTGGTCAGAATTTATAGGAAAAAACGGCAGCTATCACCGCTGTGGACAATTGCGGTGAACACATCACTGCTTTTGTCCAGAGCGGTGATAGCTAGGTCGTTGTGACATAATTTCCCACCTACCAGGGCTCTAAAACGTGGTCAATTATCACCGTTTTGGTCCATGGCGATAATGTGATCGTTTTTGTCGACGGCGATGATAAGGTCTATTATCACCGTTTTTCACAAGCGCGGGGAACTCATCACCGTTTTGGTTGAAAGCGATGATGCTATTACCGTTTTGGTCAAAAAAGGTGATTGAATCACTGTTTTGGTTGAAAGCGATGATAGCATCACCGTTTTTGTCCAAAACGATGATAGCATCACTGTTTTGGTTGAAAGCGATGATGCTATCACCGTTTTGGTCAAAAACGGTGATTGCAATCACTGTCTTGGTCTACAACAGTGATGTTGAAACTGCTGTATTTTGGGAAATAAGTTTATAAGTACTGTGTTTTGGGAATTTTTTTTAATAATTAGAGTATTTTGGGATTTTTTCCAATGCTTGGGGTGGATAAATGATTCACCCTTATTATTGTTATTGGTACATATTTAACGGATTGCTTTTGTGTTTAGGTGTTTACCGAGGTGGGGCCTGGAACAAACCAATTTTGGCATGGGTTACTGTTTACACCTAGAAAGTGCCAGGTGGGATTTGGGGCCGCCTTTGGAGAGATCACGCCTTTCCTCTAGATGAGAAGCTTCCTTCCCACATAAGGGGACCGGATGCGGGAACCTCGGACACTCTCCAACGATCAAGTTAGTATTTTATAGAGAGAAAGTAGATAGAGAATAATGTTTGTCAGTTACCATTAAATGATGTGGTTGGCCGGTATTTATATCTGATAATGGTTGGTGTGAGGATTTAATGCTCTGTTGAGCGTGTACTAAACGTCCATTCAAGCGAATATGCCTTGTCAGAGTAGGTATGATTAGCACTGCTACTGTCTCATCATCCATACATTTGTTACGCCCGCAACTCCAGAAGCGACCTCGCTTCCGTTCCCTTTATCTGCTATTGGGCCTGTGTGTCCATTGGGCCGGCTTTGTCGCAGTGGGCCTTGGTTTGGGCAGTTATTCCCGCTTGATCCAACAATTGTCCCACAGGCGGGTAAAGCCCCCGGGTTTGGGCGGATGATCTTAAGTCTGGGGCGGGAACACTTCCCAAACCTGGGACCTAGTATGTAGGCCCCTTCCCCCTAGCCGTCTAAGCAGGTGTGCCACGCCTCGAGGTTCCCTTATCCTTCTTTGGTTGTCATGTTTCTGACAACACGGTTTCCCACGAGCAGTGAAAAAGACGTGTCGTCAGACGTTTGAAATTACACAATTATTGCTACCTATATAGCCTACCTAGGGTTACTCGAGAACTCTATCTGGAAACCGCTCCTCCTCCCTTTGAAAGGCCACCTACAAATCATACTGGTTAGTACACTGCTTCTGTCTCTATTTTGTTTAATTCGGATCCTCTGTTAATCGCCGCCGCCATTGTAACGTTTCTTCCCTTCTTTATCATAGTTCGTTGCGGTTTTTACGAGCAACAACGCTTCATTACGATGCCTGGTGGTGATGGTTCTGCGCATTTACTGCCCTCTACTGGCCCTGGTTCTTCACCAGGACGGAAAAAATCATCGGCTGGTACTTCCACCGCCGCTGCTACTGCTTATGGCAGCGCCACCGCCGCCGGCGTTGCTAACCCTGCCTCCACTCCAATTGTTCTGGATTCCTCGGAGACAGTCTCGGACCCCATTACCGCTGTCGCTCAAGGTATGCTAAATTTGCATCTTTTATCACCCTTTAACGTGTCCGAAATTGACTGGGATTTGAGTGGGGTAGATATGGATTTCGAGGGTTCTTTGTCAGATGACGACCGATACTTGCTAGGTAGAACTGGAGATGGGTCATTTGAATTGACGAATGTTACTTTGGGTTTAGGCATAGAACCTATAGCCACTAGGGGCGACGCTTTCCCGTCGAGGATAATTTGGCTAGCTTCGATGACATCTCTGTGTAAAGCGTGAGCACTGAAGAAGGGCTCAGTATCGATGAATCGAATTCGCCCAAGCGACCCGATTCCCCGTCCATTGATCTTTCAGAGGATACTTCGGATCAGGACTACCGAGCGGTAGGGGATGACGAGTACTCTGTATGGCTCTATGAGCATGTGGGTTAGAAGCGAAATTCCTGCTCCCGCTTTTGACCGGGGACCTGATAGGTATAGCAAACTCAAACCTGTCATCGTCCATACCCGCCTAAGAAACCATAAGCTTCCAACCAACTGGAAATACACTTCCCTGTCCCTGACTTCCGGGGTGGGAACGTGTCCTAAGGTGTGGATTACCATATACAATGAGCAGCTGAAGCTTGGCCTATGCTTTCCTCTTAACCCGCTCATTACTCAGACTTTTCTATGTGTGAACTGCACTCTCAGGTGTCTATACCCCACCGTCATCTTTCATGCATGTGCTTATAGGCTCTCATGCCAAAGACTCGGAATTGAGCCCTCTTTTGTTGTCTTCCGATTTATGTATGGGCTTTGGCGTGTATCGAACGTATGGTCCTTTGAGAGGCGTGGCAAGGCCTATGGTTTTACGATTGGGTCCCCGAATCTAGATTCTGCTTGGTTCAAGGATTTCTTTTACGCCAAGCCTACAACCAAATGGTATTCAGGCGATAAGGAACCGAGGACGGGGTTCGCCTACAACCGAAAGGAGAACTAGGATGCAAAGCATTGGACATTGGAATCCCAAAGAGACCATGTCATGAAAATCGCCGAGCTATCTTCATTTAATGTGAAGCCTGGGGGGCCCGACTCTGTGATGGCTATTCTGAATGAACTCTTCAGAGATGGTCAGTAGTGTTGTTGTCTTGCATTTTTGGCGACCTGGTATTCGCCTTCCGTTATGCTAATCCGTTTGCTCCCTTCGCAGCCATGCACTTTGGGAGCGTTGCGATGATGGTGCGGCCGTCGAGGCAAGCAAAAATAAACGCCTCGAAGGCTGGGGCACTTCCCATTCTGCTGTGAAACCTGGCTTGTCGGCCGCTCCTACAGCTCTGTCCAAGTCGTTGGTCTCCTTGACCAAGACTTCCACACCCGCGGGACAAGCCACGCTTGCCAACGGGGCTGACAGGCTGATGACGGTACACACGGGAGGCAAGCTAACTCGTAAAAACTGTGACATTGGGAAGCGGACTGCTGAGGCCCAACGGTGGATCCGGAAGAGGTCCGAAAGAAAACAAAGACAACTTCCCTGACAAAGACCGTCGCGTTCTCACCCCACTCTTTGCACCGAGAGGACTGTGCCCGGCGCATGCTTCATGAACTGTCTGGGAAGTTGCTCGTGCCTCTGGAGTACACTGATGTTGAGGATCCGTCGACAAGGCAATGGTTTGGCATGTAAGTATGGCCCAAGTTGGGATGATCAACGAGAAGCTTCATATGGCCCATTTGCAGAGCGGGGTTGAGGTGGAGAAGTTGCGCAAGCAGATCAGGGAGCTGGAAGCAGAGTCAATCAAAGGCCGTGCGACTTTCCGAGCGGAAGCGAAGGCTGATCTGGAGAAAGAACATGCTGACGTCATTAAGGATTTGCGCATTGAGTTATCTCGGGGCGTTCAGAAGGTAAACAACCTGATGGCAGACAAGGAAATCTTTGAAGATGACGTGTCCCGATACCGATGACGCGTGGAAGAGATGGAGAAAGAAAATAAAGAGAGTGCGCTGAGGCACATAACTGAAGTCGATGCCGCGACTAAGTCAGCGGTTGCTACGTACTTGCTTTCTTCCGCCTTCCGTCAGATTTTCGATGCAAAGAGCTCTAAGGTTATGGCCGACACAGTGGCTTCAATTCGCCACCTGTTCTGCCGCAAGCATCCTAAGCTTGGTGGGACACGGATTCCGTGTTGGATGTAGTTGTTGCTTGGGGTTCTTCGGAAAGCGATGTTAATTCCGAGAACGCTCTTGTTGCTGCTGTCGGGGGCGATGAAGCTACTTTTCCATGAGAAGGCGATTCTTGAATGTTGTATTCTCTTTTTGGTAATCGAGTGTCTCCTTGATTATGAACTAGTATTTGTAATTTCTCTGTTTTGTGGTTCTCGTCTTCTATCTTGATGCTTTACAATCTCGACTTTTTAAGTTGATTTTCTAAGTATTTATTCGATGTTCGACTTATATTATCCGTACGTTATCTAGCTTCTCTTGACCAGTCTCCGACATTTCAAACAACTTTATGAATCCTTGTCCCGGGATGCTTCGAGTAGCATGTTATAAGGGAGATCCTGCCCAGGAGGGCATTCTGCAGGCGGGTTGTTCTGCCTTCGGGGTGGCGTATTACGAACAACCCTTGTCTCAGGATGCTTTAATTTGGGACTCGCTCTGCCTCGGGGTGGCGTGTTATGAGCAAGATCCTGTCCTGGAAGGCATTCCACGGACGGGTTGTTATGCCTTCGGGGTGGCGTATTACTAATAACCCTTGTCCCAGGATGCTTTGATTTGGGACTCGCTCTGCCTCGGGGTGGCGTGTGATGAGCGAGATCCTGCCCCAGAGGGCATTCCGTGGGCGGGTTGTTCTGCCTTCAGGATAGCGTATTACGAACAACCCTTGTCCCGGAATGCTTTGATTATGGGGCTCGCTCTGCCTCAGAGTGGCTTGTTATTAGCGAGATCCTGCCCCGAGCGGGTTGTTCTGCCTCCGGGGTGACGTATTACGAACAACCCTTGTCCCGGGATGCTTTGATTTGGGAATCGATCTGACTCGGGGTGGCGTGTTATGAGCGAGATCCTGCCCAAGGGCATTCCGCGGGCGGGTTCTTCTGCCTTCAAGGTGGCGTATTATGAACAACCCTTGTTCCGGGATGCTTTGATTTGTGACCCACTCTGCCTCGGGGTGGCGTATTATGAGCGAGATCTTGCCCCGGAGGGCATTCCGCGGGCGGATTGTTCTGCCTTCGGGGCGGCGTATTACGAACAACCCTTGCCCCAGGATGTTTTGATTTGGGACTTGATCTGCCATGGAATGACGTGTTTTGAGCGAGATCCTGTCCCGGAGGGCATTCTGCGGGCGGGTTGTTCTGCCTTCGCGGCGGCGTATTACGAACAACCCTTGTCCCAGGATGCTTTGATTTGGGACTCGCTTACGATATCTTGCATCCAATGACCTTTCTTGTAATGATAGATTGGAGACTCGATCTACATTTTTTAATCGGCTGAATGGTACTTGCATAAGTGCAAAAATTCCATGTTTTGCTTACCGCCTCCCCACTCATAGTGGAGAGCCTCTAGGTACTCGGTCCTATTTTGTCACATATGAGGTAGGGTCCTTCCCAATTCGCCGCCAACTTGCCGTGTTTGTCCTTCTCTTTCTTGTCGAACATCCTCTTAAGCACCATGTCTCTTTCCTCCAGGGGGCGTGGTGGGATTTTGTTGTTATACACCTTGGTCACCTTCTCCTTTTCTGCAATGGTACGGATCAATGCCACCTCCCACCTTTCTTCGATCATGTTCAGCTGATGGAGTAGGTGGCATGGTTTTCTTTAGGAGCATATGATAAAGCACCAGGGGGGGTGCTTTGTTTGATCAGAATACGCAGCTCGAAACTCTTCAACGGAAGATAAAACAGATAGGTAGAATTTCACCACAATCAAGGTGATTACTTGATTGATAAGAAACTTGTAAAACGAATTTGGAATCCTCACAGAAAAGCTTGACAAGGGTTCTCGAATTAGCAATGGAATCCTCACAAAACTAACTCAAGGATTTGATTCTTGAGACACAACTCAAAGAACTCGAAACTCACGTTGGAGGAAATTCTACCTATCCATTTTATCTTTCGAATTAGCAATGGAATCCTCACAAAACTAATACAAGGATTTGATTCTTGAGACACAACTCAAAGAACTCGAAACTCACGTAGGAGTAATTTTTATTCAACTCAACTCTTCTCTAACTATTACAACGAAAACTAGAGGGCTTTTATAGCCAAAGAAAACCTAATACAATTCTAAACTAACAAGGAAACAATTAAGGTAAAAATCTACTCTTATAATGACTCAAAATTCGGGTTTAAACTTCCTTTCTTGGAGTACAAGTAAGCTGCCAGCAAACAGTTCAAAACAACTTTCGTACTAACTTTGCGCCTTTTGTTCGAGGCCTTCCAGAACTCCAATCTTTCATCCAATTCTTTCCCTTGGTAGATAAACATTCCTAGTTTCATTTTGTAGAAGCCTTTTGACTTGAATCCCATCCATGCTCCTTGAATTGAGCTCCAAAGTAGGCTTCACAAAACAGTTTTCTGCCTTAGCCATTTTCTGACAGTTTTCCAGTTTTGAGGTAGCAACTTTGAGGCCTTGGAAAATAACCTTAATGACATCGTATGGATCCAAAAAGCTTACCATTGAAAACATGGTAAATTTATTTGTAAAACAAACCCTTAAACTTGAATTTACACCAAGCCAATTGAGAGAACCATGCTTCCAAAGTATGTACCCTGAACACGGATTTTGACTTAGCCAAATTCTGCCCTTCTTCTTCCCAACTTTGATAGCTTCTTCGTCAAGTAATATAAGCGTGTTGGATGACTCTACCTAACCAATTGCTTGCGGGAACACCACAGACGCCATGATGTACTTTATGTTATGTTCCTCACAGAACTTCACAATTGGGCGACAGTCAAACTGTGTACCATGATCGGTGATGATCGACTCTGGAATTCCGAAGCGAATCAGGATGTTGTGAAAAAGAAAATTTTGCACCCAGGGCACTTGTGATTGCCTCGAGTGGCTCAGCCTCTATCCAGGGATTTTTCCAATAATAACACCTTTTAAAATTTTTTTACAAAAATAGCACCCAACCCACAAAAAATCCAAAAATAGCACCTTTACATATAAACCGCACAACGGGGGAGCGGTCCACACTAGGGCAGCTTGAAAACTGCACTGTCAGCGTGCGGTCTACGTTCCCGAGTCAGCGGTCCCCAACACCGTTGGATGAGGGGGCGGTCCAACGACTGACCGGGCGCCACCGCAGCAATCCGCGTCAGGAATCGATGACAGCGCGCCTGGCGAACGGTCAACGCATTGGTCACAACTATACGTGGGCACCGGGCCGTGCCGCCAATGGGCTAGCACGGCACAGTTAGAGCACGGCACGAGCACGGGCACAGAATAAATGGGTCATCCCGGCACGAGCACGAATAATTCATGGGCCGTGCCGGGCCTAAACTTCATGGGCACGAGCACGAGCAAGGGCACAACACGGTATATAAGTGGGCCGTGTCGGGCCTAATATTTTTGAGACTTTATTGAGTATAAGAATGGACATGACACGAAAATAATAATTATTTGATAGAAAATAAGTATAAAAAGAATCATATTCAAATATTACAAAACACAAGTAGAAAAATAATTATTTGTTGTTGTTAGAAGTGTCATAAAGATATATACGTAATTACTAACATAAGTAAAAAGGGACAAAGAATTAAACAAAGCCAAATAACACTCGCTATACTTCCAATTTGCTTTTCCCCCCTATTTGTTACTTTTCCCAAACATTATCGGTTAATACTATCTTCCCCCGTCCAATTTTTACCTTCTTTTTCATTCTCTCTTTTGTTTTCGTCCTTTTCATTAAACACAAATACGAGCATGACACGAGCACGAATAGGCACGGCACGAACCGTGCTCGGGCCTGAGCCTGGCCTAGCAAAGTTAACTAATGGGCCTGCATGGCACGACACGAAAACTGACGGGCCGTGCCAAGCACGACACGAAATAAATGGGCCTGAAGAGTGCCCGTATCGTGCCGGCCCAAGCACGGGCCAACGCCTATGTACAGTCACAACAGAAAATTGAAGAAGAAGAAGAAGAAGAAGAAAGAGAGGTGTGAAGAGAAGAGGTTTCCCAGGGCTGCCTTTTATAGGCTTCTCTTCAATAAATCCTGCAGGGGGAGGCTGTAGTTTTCATCTGTCATGTAGCCCCACGTCTGTCAACCCTCCATGGCCAACATGTGATTGTCAACCCTGCATGGCCAACATTGCTCCCTTCTTCTTCATCGAAGGGGTCACTAACTGGTGCTGGCATGGCATCTTCCATCTGATCCAGATCATGAAAGGCACCTTCATCATGCTGGCCAGAGGAACACACAGGCTGTCGTGCAGGATATCCAAACCCAGCTGGGGAGTGTGGCTCAAGCAGTGGCGCAGAGGGCTCCGGGTTCATTGTCGGGTCATACCATTCCTAATCCGAAGGACCAGAATGCCCACTGTAATGCTATTACTACAAGGAGCGACAAAGTGATTGCAGACCGACGTGTCCTGGCCAGAAAAGCGGGAGGGAGACCTGTCTCGGCAATTCCAGCTGTTGAAGATTGTGGCGGATGGAGGGCTGTTAGCGGCGCCGCCTACTATCTCTGCTGCGAGAGGTGCTAGCTTAAACAAGCAGGACCATTAGTGGTGAAGCAAGCAGGAGCCGACTCAGCACACCTTAAGCAAGCAGGAGCATTAGTGGTGAAGCAAGCAGGAGCATTAGTGGTGAAGTAAGCAGGACCATTAATTCAAGCAAGCAGGAGCCGACTCAGCAGCTTGGCTATTCAGTAGGAGATCGATAGGCGGCGGCGGCCATTATTAAGTAGGCAGGAGGAGGCCAATTATTAACCAGGCAGGAGGCGGCACCTAACCAAGCATGTGGTGTCGGCAAATTAGGGCAAAAGCGCATAATCAAGCCAGTTCCGACGGAAGTAAGGTGAGTGTAGAGGGAGTAAATTCTACGCCTTACGATTTTCAAGTATTTTCCTTGAGTAATTTCGAGTATTGATTTACGTGATGTATGTGCAGTATTTGATTCATGTTTGAGATTGCATGATTATTGTTGATGATATGTGATTTTTGTTTGAGCTATGTTTGAAGTGAATGGTTATTACCTACTTGAAAATTTTCAGAGTATAAGTTGTTAAAGTTTAAGAAACAAGGTCTTTTTAAGAAGTAACTCACCTTCAAGAAGGTGAAGTCGTTTAAGTGTTTTTAGTCACTAGCGCCAGTCCGTTGCCATTTGAGATTTTCAGATAGAGCAGCAGTTATGCTCTTGAGATCTTTGAGACAGAGCAGCAGTTATGCTCTTGAGACTTTTAAGATGGGCAGCAGTTATGCCCTTGAGAATCGTGGTGAAGAGCCACCACGATAAGTTTAAGATGTTAGGGGGATGAATCGTTACGACTTCCCTAACTAAGTTTAAGTTTAAGGAAAGCCTGGATGGCTTCTCATACATATGAGTTGGCAACCGGACTAGCTAGTGGGGGATCCCAGAGTCAGTCAAGTATTTAAGTTGAGATTTAAGCTTTAAGAGTGGAGAGTACCAGTTACTCCCATGCAGTTTTAAGAGTTAAGCTTTTTAGTAATGGAAGTACAAAACAACTCCCACTCAGTTAAGTAAAGTGATCAAGTATCATTAAGTATTTAAACGTAAGGGCGTAGACTGAACCCATCTCACTCACCAGTTTGAGGAGCTAGAGGAGCAGTTAGTGAGCAGCGGGTTCGAGGGCAGCCAGCTAGAGGAGAGCAGTATAAGCGTCACGGAGGATGCTTAGTCAAGGTTTTCAGTAGCAACAGCTTCAGAGTTTATTAGTTAATTACATTTATGATTATCAGTACAGACTGGAGATTATTTGGAGATCAGTTTGAGATTTTAAAGTTTGAGTTTAATTTGCCCACGTGTTAGGGCTTTGCTCTGAGCTACAAGTGTGTGTTTTCAGTATTTTATTTATGAAAAAATTTCCCGCTGCAATTTAAGATTTGAGTATTTTATTTATCAAGGGCATTTTAGTAAAAGTAGTACCCGTCCGGGTTAGGGTGTTACAATTCAATTAGCTGACCGATCTATAGTTCATCCTAGGGGCATAGTGGAAGACCTTCTGGTTAAGGTTGGCAGATTCTTTTATCCTGTGGATTTTGTTGTCTTGGACATCAATGAAGACACAGAAGTGCCACTTATACTGGGAAGGCCTTTCCTGGCCACCGCCAAGGCTCTCATAGATGTACATGATGGGACCTTAGTCTAGAGGGATGGCGAGAAGCGAATAACGTTTTCCATTGCTAATACTCTCCCTACTTTATCTCCTTTGAATGTTGTTTCTCGACCTCCAGGCTCGATCACCACGTTCGCCAACTTGGCGGACAAGTTCCTCACCCGCTACCATCCTCCGTCCAAGACGGCAGACCTGCAGAAGCAAATTACACACTTTGCTCAAGACGAAGATGAGACCATTCGGGATGCTTGGGAGATATACACCAGTCTCTTCCTCAAGTGTCCCAACCATGGTTTTACCAACTCCTTCAAGGAGGGCACCTTCTACCATGCCCTCTTCCCGGAAGACAAGCAGCTGATTGACTCAGTTTGCGGTGGGAATATGCTCACCAAGACACCGCCACAGCTGAATCAACTTTTTGAAGATATGGCAGAGCAGGGCTATGATTGGGGGACTGCGAGGCGATCGAGACGAGCACTAGGGCGGGGTGTGCATGTTGTAGCCACCCAGTTGTCTGATTTGGTGCAGGTGGTATCGAAACTGGTTTCAGCCATCGATCGCTCTGGAATGATTTCAGGGTCTGGACAGCAGCAGGCGATGCATTGCCAGTGGTGCGAGAGCACCCATCACACTGTGGAAGACTGTCAGGCGATGAGGGAGTCGACTACACCCCAGGATCAGGTGAACTTCATCAACAATGCTAGGCACAATGACCCCTACAGTAACACTTACAACGAGGGGTGGCGCCAGCATCGCCTTCTCCTGGGTTGGGGCCAATCCTAGACCACCAATCTTCCAAGGACCGCCAGGCATCTAGAGGCCGCCATATCAGCCCAGGCAAGGGCAATTCCAGCAACAGTAGCAGTCCCTCTACCAGCCCATGCAGGGGCATGCTGCTCAACCACAGCCGCGACCCTTCCAGCAGCCAGGTGCAGCCCCTGCAACCCCAGTGTAGAATGATCTGATAGCTGAACTGTGGGACTTGGTGGGTTCTCTTGCCAGTTCCAGTGCTCATAAATTCAACACTATCGAGCAGTTCATGGAAAAGGCCTCGAGTAAATTCCTCGCTCTTGAAGCTGTCCAGAGGAACACACAGGCTGTCTTGCAGGATATCCAAACCCAGCTGGGGAGTGTGGCTCAAGCAGTGGCGCAGAGGGCTCCGGGTACATTGTCGGGTCATACCATTCCTAATCCGAAGGACCCGAATGCCCACTGTAATGCTATTACTACAAGGAGCGACAAAGTGATTGCAGACCCACCTATCCTAGCCAGACAAGCGGGAGGGAGACCTGTCTCGGCAATTCCAGTTGTTGAAGAAGAAGCAGAGAAGGAGGTTGAGGTGCCTGCTCCTTCGCCGCAACCAGTAGTGAAGGAGTATGTCCCTCAACTCCCCTTCCCTACTCGGTTTCACAAAGACAGGATAGAGGCAGAGTTCGGGAACTTCATGTCCATGCTTAGGAAGCTGAATGTCCAAGTGCCCTTCTTGGAGGCACTATCTCAAATGCCTAAGCATGCGAAGTTCCTGAAGGATCTTCTCTCCAAGAAACAGAAGTTGAGCGAGCTGGCCACTGTGGAGCTCAGCGAGGAGTGCTCGGCCATTCTGCAGAACAAGCTTCCCTCGAAGTAGAAGGACCCAGGTAGTTTTACTATCCCGTGCTCTATAAGTAAATTGCAAGTAGAGAGGTCATTGGCGGATCTAGGTGCTAGTATCAATGTTATATCATATAAATTGTTCAAGAAACTAGGCCTAGGTGAACCCATTGCAACTAGGATGAGTATTCAATTAGCTGACCGATCTATAGTTCATCC